ATAATTGTTAAGTAAACTAACTGTTTGCTTTGGGTCAGTTTTGTCAAAAACCAGAAGTAAATGCTAGTGTTTGGCAAAAACATAAAATGTGTTTACATGACTTTGAGACACTGCAAATAGTCAAAAATGCAAGCCAGTTGTCTAATGCAGTCACATGACCATATTGCAAATACCCATATGGAGTCATAGCTTCAAACAATCACCAGACAACTGATCGTAAGTCGAAGATACCTGTATGTTGGCCAAAAGCCACACTTAAAGAAGATAAGATGCTTTTGTCGTCTCTCATTCCTTTGCTTTCAAGAATATCTGCTTCTGTTTGATGGCCACAAGATAATCCTTCCAAATAATTTATTTGCAAAAGGGCTAATCAGTCTTCCTTCAGGTTAATATAGTAAGTAATATCCAATTTTTTAAAATGAAGCAAATTGAGCTAGTTATTTTATGATACACAAATCTACTTTAAGAAAGAGGCCAAATTTAAATGAATATATCTCCTGAGTCTTGCTATCAAAGGTGCCTTTGACCTATAACATTCTACAATTCCATGAACTATATGGATTAGGTCCCATGACACAACTATTCCTGTGGAAAATGTTATGAGACAAAATTCATGGCTATGTTACATATAATAATTGAACATAGAATACAATGAACATTTGAAATATAATTATGCATGAGTTAGTTTACTTCAGAAAATGTATGCAATACTTAGATCAATCAATGTCATAGGACTAATTAAATTTCTTACAGGCTTGGGTAGTAGGATTACTTCATCCTCTTTCCCAGGATTGAAAGTTAATACCTGTGTTTTGTAATAGCTTTATTTTCTTTGTTTGGAATAGAATAGAATTCTTTATTGGCCAAGTGTGATTGGACACACAAGGAATTTGTCTTGGTGCAAATGCTTTCAGTGTACAAAAAAGAAAAGATACATTCATCAAGAGTCAAGAATCATCAGGTACAACACTTAATAATAGCCATAGGGTACAATAGGCAATCAAATCATACCAGGAAACAGTCAATATAAATCATAAGGATACAAGTGACAAAGTTACAATTATACAGTCACAAGTGGGAGGGGATAGATGATAAGGAGTGAGGAGAAGATTAAAAGTAATAGTAGTGCAGACTTCGTAAAATAGTTGAACAGTGTTAAGGGAATTATTTGTCCTTGTGTCTAGTTGTTCTGGTGTGCAGTGCTCTAGGTCATTTTGATGGTAGGAGTTGAAACAGTTTATGTCCAGGATGTGAGGGGTCAGTAAATATTTTCGCAGCCCTCTTTTTGTCTCGTGCAGTATATAGGTCCTCAATGGAAGGCAGGTGGGTAGTAATTGTTTTTTCTGCAGTCCTAATTATCCTCTGAAGTCTCTGTCTGTCTTTTTGGGTTGCAGAACGAAACCAGACAGTTATAGAGGTACAGATGACAGACTCAGTAATTCCACTGTAGAACTGTATCAGCAGCTCCTTGGGCAATTTGAGCTTTCTGAGTTGGCACAGAAAGAACATTGTGCTTTTTTGATGACGTTTTTGATATTAGGCGTCCATTTTAGGTCTTGTGATATGATACAATCTAGAAATTTGAAGGTCTCTACTGTTGATACTGTGTTGTCTCATATTGTAAGAGGTGGTAGTATGGGAAGGTTTCTCCTAAAGTCTACCACCATTTCTACGGTTTTGAGTGTGTTCAGTTTCAAATTGTTCCAGTTACACCACGAGGCAAGTTGTACAACCTCCTGTCTGCATGCGGATTTGTTGTTGTCTTGAATGAGACCAATTACTGTTGTATCATCTGCAAACTTCAGAATTTCAACAGATGGATTGTTTGAGATGCAGTCATTGGTATATAGGGAGAAGAGAAATGGAGGAAGTATGCAGCCTTGGGGGGGGGGGTTTGAGCTAATTGTACAGGTATTAGATGTGATTCTACCTAGTTTCACTTGCTGCTTCCTGTTTGTTAGGAACTTATGATCCACTTACAAACGTGTTCAGGTACTGCTAGCTGGTTTAGTTTAGTTAGAAGAATGTCTGGAATGATGGTATTGAATACTGAACTGAAGTCTACAAAGAGGACCCTTGCGTAGGTATTTGGAGATTCAAAGTGTTGTGGGATGCAGTGCAGAGTCATATTAACAGCACCAACTGTTCATCTATTTGCTCGGTATGCAAACTGCATGGGATCTAACAGCAGATCTGTGATGGTTTTCAGGTGGGACAGCACTGGCTTTTCACAGGTTTTCATGTTTGAGCAACTGGTCTGTAGTCATTCAGTTCCCTGATTGAGGACTTCTGTGGTACTGGGATGATAGTAAAGTGTTTTGAAGTAAGAAGGAACATAACACACCTCTAGTGATTTGTTGAAGATTCGGGCCAATTGGTTAGCACAGACTTTTAAGCAAGAAGGAGTTATCTTGTCTGGCCCTGGTGCTTTCGTATTTTTGTTCTGAAAATCTTCTTAGATCCTGTCTCTATGAAAAGTTCAATTTTATGGACGACTTGGAGACATGGGATATCCTTTGGATCTGAGTGTTTGTTAAATGCAAATTTGCTTAATTGATGTAATTTATGATGCATTTATATAATTTGAGTAATTATGTAATTATGATAATGATGTGTATTATATTTTCTTGATTGCTTCAAAAACAATGGACTGAAATACATTCCTACACAAACTTTAACACTGTATTAAGTGACTTTCTGACAGGAACTTAAAAAAGGAATGTAACAATGCCTTTGAGTACAGATTGCAAGATAATCATTCTACATATAGTGCCAATTGGAGGTTTTTATAATTGAGAGTGAGGGTATTATCGTGTTTCTCCAACAATACAACCTCCCCCAACAGGAAGACCCAGCATGTTTTCTAGGCATAAAATGAAATTAAGCCCCTCCCCCCAAATTTAGCCCTACTTTAAAACATGCAAAATGGGGGGAAGGGCGGAGGGACTTGCTGTTAGGAGCGCCCCGCGGGCAGCAATTCCTCGCCACCAGCTGCTCCTAATGGGCAATCATGGCAGAGTGCGGAGAGCTCCCTACTCCTGCCAAGCACCTTTGCGGCAGACCCAAGACCTTCAGCGCCCGCCACTGTTGATTTCCCTTCTACCCATGCCGCCGCCGCATTTGGAGCTGCCACTTCCACGTTTGGAGCACCACTGCTGCTTGGAGCACCCGCTGCTGTTTGGATCTGCCGCTTCCGCATTTGGAGCTGCCGCTGCGTTTGGAGCTGCCGCTTCCGCATTTGGAGCTGCTGCTGCGTTTGGAGCTGCCGCTTCCACGTTTGGAGCGCTGCTGCTGTTTGGAACACTGCTGCTGTTTGGAGCTGCCGCTTCCGCATTTGGACCTGCCGCCGGGTTTGGAGCTGCCACTTCCGCATTTGGAACCCCACTGCTGTTTGGAGCACTGCCGCTGTTTGGAGTTGCCATGTCCGCATTTAGAGCTGCTGCCGTGTTTGGAGCTGCCGCTTCCGCATTTGGAGCACTGCCGCTGTTTGGAGCACCATCGCTATTTGGAGTGCCACCACCACTCCAAACACGGCGGCAGCTCTAAACGTGAAAGTGGCAGCTTCAAACATGATGGCGGTGCTCCAAATGGCGGCAGCACTCCAAACACGGAAGCGGCAGCTCCAAACGTGGCGGCGGAATGGGCAGAAGGGAAAGCAACAGCGGCGGGTGCCAAAGGTCTTGGGTCTGCAGCAAAGGTGTTTGGTGGGAGTAGGGAGCTCTCTGCGCTTCGCCATGATCACCCGTTAGGAGCGGCTGGTGGCGAGGCTGTCCGTGGGGCGCTCTAGATGAGGATGCAAGGGGGGGGGATTAAGTCACCCCCAAAAAGACGGCCTAGCCGGGCTCAAAAAAATATAAGACCCGGCCTTATTTTATGAGAAACACAGTAAATTTATTTTGTCTTCGAAAGTACCATCACTCAAGCAATCTCTCATCTGCACAGCATTAAACACAAGAATCTTCTATTCTTATCAGTGCTTATCTGCATCCTTTCAACATAGCAGTCAAACTTAGAAAAATATACTTTATTGTTATTTTTTTCTCCTGAACTCAAATATCACAATGGGTGAAATCTGGGCATTTGTTTTAGATTGCTCAAATATAATTCCCCTGAAAATCAAATCTGTATAAAAATTAAGCTTAGGGTTAAGCGCAAGCATTTAGGTACTTTTGTTCTGTTATTGCTGAGTCCTGCAGCCGTCCAGGTGTACATCTCTCACAACCAAGTCCAGGCATATACCTTCTGAAATGACGTGGTTTAGATGATTGGATTATTAAGTTGGAAAGCACTCCAGCTTGAGACTAGGGGTTGTTGAGTAAAACTAGAATGGGTTGAACTTGCACTAACTCTGGATACCAGTGGCATTATGGAACACTGGATTGCTGAGTGCCTGACAGCAGGAGCAGCTGTGATTAAGTTGTGTGAGAAGGGTATGAGTGGTTGTTCGACTGATTCCTTGGCCAGGAAGATAAAGGGTAATGGTCTGACACACAAAAGATTGTGCACTGGATCTAGTTTTTGTCTCAGGATAAGAAATTTGCAGTTGGGGTACATTACAATCAGTCCTGTCATGGTGAGATCATTTTGACTACCTTTCAGTTTGCTATTACTCCCTCTACCTATGGTGTATAAGCATGTCTTTCTGTAACAATGCATGTCCTCTGGAACAGTATACTAGAGGTCTGAATGGTCTCTATTCTGTTCTCCTTCTTGAAGACCTGGTTCTTCTCCCAGGCTTTGAGTGCAAAACTCCTCTGGGATGGTGCATATACAAGATTGAGTATAAATAGTACCTTCTCATTAACCATTTTTTCTGATTGTCTTTATTCTTGATTTTTATTGTTTGCTGCCTAAAGTCACCTAGAGTTAGGTGGTCTTATAAATATAATTTAAGATTATAAAGATATGTTTTCTACTGAAAGCAGTTAGCACAATTGAGACTAAAATCTGCATTATAAAAGGTAATACTTTTATATTTGAGTACAATGAAAATAAATTTCTTACCTTAATGTCCTCTGATTTTTTAATAAATTTTGTAGACCAAGAAGACCTTCTTTTCTCTCTGACCAGTTGGAGCTTGCACAGCGGTTAAGGACCTCAGCGACATCTTCTGTCTGTCGCATATAGGTGGGTATTGTGCCATTCCGTGAGCTATAGGATCTTTCTGAGCAGGCACTGGAAGCATCACTGTTAGCATCATCATCAGAGTACATTCCATAAGATTCATACCTCCTTCGAACTGGCTTTTTCTATTATACAGAGAAAAATCATAAGATAAACAATGGCAAAATAAGCTCCTTTTATCAGTCAGTTCAGATGTTCAATTTTCCAGATTCTACTACTATCTTCAGATATCACTAAAAAGAGGAAATGCTTATTGTTATTTATATGCAAAAAGAAATATTTAAACTAAATTAAAATGACATTCTCCCCAATTATTATAACTGCTGTAGGTGAGATAATATGCAGCAGATGTTCTAGTGATTTTACATTATAGTTTGTCCTGCTGGGACTACATTACTTAAAAAAAACATACAGACAAATATTTTGAATTTACTTACATTTAAACCCATATAGACTTATTCAGAATGTTTTGGTAATTTAAAACATGTATCTAGAATATGAAGCCTGTTTATCTAAATGGTGTTTTGTTTATATATTATAAAATCTGTCTGTCTGTCTGTCTATCTATCTCCCAATATAGGAAAACAATAATAGTTATACCTTTGTCCGAATGTCTCCTAACAGCTGAAAGCATTATAGAAAAAACAAATGTTATGAATATAAACATTGAGTAGCTTTTTAGCAGGTAGAATCAGTGTATACACACACAGACGCACACACACACACACACACACACACACACACACACACACACACACGGGATGGATGGAGGGAAGGAGGATGCATGTATAGCACAAGAATTCAGTTTTTATATAACCTGAATTCCTGTTGAAGCCATCAGATTCTTACTGTGAGATCAAAGAGCAGAATGGAAAAAAAAACTGAAATAAGTGAAGTAGGGCTTATAAAGAAGGTGACATGTGTCATGAGATCTAATTAAATTAACTCAGCTGGATTTCTCAGCCTGTGAATTGTATTTATATTTATGTTTTAAAGTAACAATATGTAGCTAACACTACTCTCTTCAAAATTATGCATAATCCTTTCTGACACAAGTATCACAGAATACAACACATTTACAGACATTATCTTTTATCTTATAAAACAAGTAGAAGACAAGCTAGCCTGGGGTTTCAGAGATCATACAGTCTTAAGAAAAGCATGTTTATATAAAGAAAAAAGAGATGCACTAATACATTAGGAAAGGAACATCATTTAACTTGGCAGAATCAATAATCAAATTAGACAATAATATAATAAAGCATAAAAAATTAAAAATCCTACTTTGTTATCCCCAGAAAAACCTACCAAGGCATCTGCTACTGCTTCTTCAACATCTGAGCCTGTGTTTAAGACACGCATGGCACTAACTGATGAAGATAATCGGCTTGATTGACTAATTCCAAAACCTGAAATAAACAGTATAAAGAAACAATTAATTTGACTTGACTAGAAAGTTTAATATATTATTTTAAAAAATGGGAATATAATATTTGGAAATGAACAAATATCTGAAATATATAAATTCTATCCCTTTTGGTTCCTTATTACTAATCCCAGATGACATTTGCTTTATTAAGTCAGGAAAGTGTAATAGCCATTTTGGCACAGAATACTAACTAAACCAATAGGCTCTAATCTAGACAATGTTACATGCATATGAAGCAATTGTATCTGCAGCTGAAATTCTCCTTCATTTTTTCCAAAGTACCTTTATTGTTAGATGTGAAAATAACTACATTTTTTAGGATTATCTATAGTAAAAACTGCAAAGTTAGTTTGATCTAATACCATCAATATCCAATTTAAGTTTATAAATTGTAGCATTTGTATGATGAAGTCAGCTATGTGTTATCATTTTCTCTTTCTCTCATGTGTTATCATGTCCTCCCTGAAAAGAACTATGTTTACCAAATTGAGTTCCCAAAATATCCTCATAAAATTGAATTTCTCTGTATTGTTGACACTTAAATGCAAATGTAAATGCATTTGTTAGTTTAGTTATTTTATTGTGGCTTCTATATCAAAACAAAATTCTATTGATAGCATAATTATATAGGAACTCAAAGACTGACAACTTATATAAATCTCCTATTAAAATGTGTTCAGTGTGGTGTTGCTGGTTTAGTAATTATGAACCATATTAAAGAACTTGGTCAATATAAGCTGTATCACTGTGTATGTAAAAGCAACATGCATTAATAACGCTTTAGAAATAAAGGAGAATGAAACAAAAAAGGCAACATTCATCTTAAATTAGGAAGAAAAAAAGTTTAGGGTATATCGAATAAAAACATTGTTTCATATACTTCAAATATCCCAATACAAGCTAAAGTAGAAAACAATAAAATAGACTATATGGGAAACCAAATATGGTAAAAATTAATCCAGGATGATGGCACAAATGATAGCAAAAGAGTACTCATCCTTCACCTGTAGCCCCATAAACATCTGGAGAGTAGAGAGCACCAGTAGATCTGGAGTGATGCCTGGAAGCTATAATAACAGGATCATATGAACCCTCTCTGTTATTATAATAATACAGAACAGGAAAACTGCAGAGAGAGCAATGAAGCAAGTTCTAGGCAAAATGAGAAATCAGCCTGCCTCTGGAGACCGATTTACAAGGTGAATAGTAACCAAGGGTGAAATTACAATGACTGTTTGTTGTGGGACAACTAAAACAACTTATAGCTTCTAAGGTCAACCACGTGTGTCCAATTTCTGCCAAGTTGTATTCAGAACTGTGCTACTGAAAGGTGTTCAGAATACTGTTAGTGGTAACATCAGTATAAAACAGTAACAAGGCTAGTGGATGAAATAAGTATGTTTACAGGACTCTGAAGTGGATGCAAAGGAGACTGTAAGTGATATTGGGGATGGAAAGATAATTATTTCTCTAATTGGATTTACTAAGACATCAAAGCTGTAGTAACATTTCAAACTACGAGGAAGACAAAAAGTAAAAGTCCTATGGGCACTTCTATGTTGTTTCTCTGACAGGAATATGGAACTCACTGTTACAAGATTCATGAGGGATTTCTCTCTCCCACTTTATTTGGTTAGATTCTAGCTTTTTTCACAGTCCAAGTATTAGCCGCGTCTTATCCCTCCAAACTTTACAGATCAGCTAAGCTTAATTACATTGTAAAAATGCTACAAGCTTGAAATGACCATTCTGGGCAGGGGTTATTCACAGTAACACCCTTGAAGCAGGTGGAGTACAAGAACTGGTTTAGAAGGTTGGGTCCATGATGATTGCATCTATCAGCCAATTTACACACAAAATGAGTCAAAGCGATGAATATACATATAATTTTTTAAAATTAAAATTAATCTCCTTAGCTAATTTATATATAGATTAAATGGCATGGAGGTAACAATGGGTACTATCATTTTACTTATTCTTGTGGCTACTGAATGAAAATGGTTGCAGTATCCTGGGGATCACATGATCGCCATTTGCAACCTTCCCAAAGTGTTTCCAACAAGTGAAGTCAATGGTGGAAGCCAAATTTACCTAACAGCCATGGTAAAAAAGGCTGTAAACTCAGATGAAATCAATGACCATCTTATTTAGCAATGGAGGTTCCAGTCCCAATTGTGGTTGTAAGTCGAAGACTACCTATAGAAAGCATATATCCTAAAACAGATTAATAAAGTGCAAACCAATTTATAATTTTATAAAGAAGATGCAAGAATTGGAAGTAATCAATTTTAAATTTTGGCATGAAACTATATTCTTGTTTGCTAAAATACGATTATATTTTTTATTTAGTTTAAGTGTTTCTAAGTAATATTGACTTCATTGAAGACACTTTTACATTAAACAATTATCTAAAATATCAAGGAGAGATTAAATCAAAACAAACCTAATATTTAGAGTAAAATCGTAACAAATTTAATACATTACAAAAAAGTAATGAATAAAATTATGCATCATAGAAACAAAAGATACACCTACCACCTCAGTGTACAGTCCAGAGGTGAACGGCTATCATTAGTTTTTCCCATCAAATTTCATTCCCCTGCATTTAACAAGAACTTCCAAACTTGATGAGATTTGACAGGAGACTTTCTGCTAAAATTACTGCTTACATGCAGAAGATTTTCAGTTTAATAAAAATTCATCAGAAACATATATATTGAAGAAATTACCAATGTATGCAACAAAACTTTAGGAATACTTATGCATGTGCCTTTGGATTGTACAATTACTCTACAATTCCACAGCCAAAGTAGGCAAATCACATGTCTTTTATGCAGAGAAATATTGTTATTTTTATTTCAGTTTATATTAGCAGATAATCATGAGCAAACAACCATGCATAACAAGCTCTCCATGTACTTACCAAGGGGTGCAAAAGAGCGAACAGGGCTTGTATCCCTGCTACTTTCACGACTGGCTTCCCGACTGCACCCCTGACTCACACTAGGCCGAGGAATGCGACTACCTCGAGCTAATATAATTCAGGGGACATACCACAGCAGCAAAAAAAGGGAAAGACACAGAAAAAAATCACATTTCAATGTAATACCAAAGCACTATTTATTATTTATATTGTTATATTATATTATATTAATTATATTATTATCTTATATTATATTAATATACACACATATACATACATATATTCATATATGTATGTATGTATGTATATGTACATACATATATACATACATATATATATACATACATACATACATACATACATATGTATGTATGTATGTATGTATGTTTGTTTTCTTAAGTTTTCGCGGGTACTTACATGTATGGTATTCAGCTTTGTTCGGGTATTTTCCCACGTCATTATAGTTGTGCTTTTAAAGTTGTAGCAACCTTTCGGCAGAATCTCATCTGCCATCGTCAGGCTTCTGTATTGTGTTTGTCTGGCGAACACAATACAGAAGCCTGATGATGGCAGATGACATTCTGCTGAAACGTTGCTACAACTTTAAAAGCACAACTATAATGACATGGGAAAATACCCGAACAAAGCTGAATACCATACATACATACATACA